GACAAGAGTGATTGATTAACAGATGTTCCTTAGTGTCATGGTCCTGGCTGGGTGGCCCACTGTAGTCACCAGCTTTGTTTGTTTGTTTGTGCCTTAATCTTACCCAAGGATTAGTTACCAGGCAAGGGAATGATGAGGGTTGTAGCTGTGAGAACCTGACTGGCTTTTCGTTTTTATCTTTGTAAACTTTCTTCTGGAGGTAAGTTTGCCAGTGAGGGGGCAGCATCATGGGCAGCCTGAATTCAGAAATTAGGCTCTTGTGTTCCAGACTTGCAAACCATCCTTTCTGCTGGGGTTTGAAGGATTTCACCAGTTCTTCAAATGAAAATATCACTTCCTTAATGCTCCTTGAAGTGGATTCAGAACTTCCCTGTTTACTACAGCTCAGTTTTCTTGAGAGTCAAAGTTAAAAGGTTGTTAACACCCCTGCAGAGAATACCAAAAAGCTGCTAGCTCTTTGCATATAAGCACTATGTTAATAATAGGTTGCCACATCCCAAATGCTGTACTAAGATGTGGCCTCAAGAAAAAATTGTGGTTAGACTGCTATTAAGCAACTAAGCAACTCAGGGAATTGAAACTGATTTTCTCTTTAGTTTCCCGTTAGGAATTACCCTTCTTGTGTTGCTGTTTTGTGAGTCATTAGGCGTTTTTGTTGATGTTTGAGGAGTGGTTAGAATTGAAACTGGGGACAAAATACGAAGCCATGAAGAAACTAGGTGTGTGTAGGTGTGTAAGCTGGGATCTCAGGTGAAAGAAGCTGAATGTGTCTAAAGGCCAGACACTGAATAAACAGCAATTACTCAGTTGGATTGCTTTGATTACAGTAATCAAAGTTTGCAATAAGTGCATCATTCATCTCCCAAGTAGCAGTTATTGAAAAACTGGTGTCAAATGAACACGAGGCTGAATTCCCAAAAGTTTTTAACTTCTTTGAGGGACCAGAAGTGCACTAGAGGAAGGTGCATCAGAGGCAGCTTGCACCTGTGGTAACCTGCGGCTTGTGGCTGCCTGCCTGCAGCCTGGGCTCATGCTGCCCAGACTCCATCTGAGCCACAAAGCTGGGCAGAGCTGGTGGGGCACAGGGCTCATGTGGTGCCTCATCCTGAAGGTTTGTTCACCTGAGCAATGGGGAACATTTTGTTTAAGGGAGCCCAATTTCCCCTGCACGTGTACACCACAGTAACACTTCTGCGATCCAATGCTGCCTCTCAGCTGAGGCCTGAGGAATTTGAGCTGCAGCAGCTTTACTGCAAGCACCTTCTGTCTTCACTTACATGTCATCCCTCATGGATCCTAGCCACAGAAAAAAAAGCTCTTGCAAGGGGTCTAGTCACACACATTTCTGCTAGTTAATGTGTAAATATGGGGCTAAAGCAGCTGAGTTTGTAGACCAAACTGGTGCCAAGTCATGGGCGGCTTTGCTGTGAACTTTTCAGTTCCTTGATAGCAAATTTGTAGCTCTGCTTCATGCAGTCCACCAATGGGAAGTCAATCCAGTGGTGGATGCCCCAACCCTGTGCCAGATTGAAAGGCAAGGTGTATTCCATTTGCCATCTGTATGGCAGTTGTCTTCTGTTAAGTGGGCAGTTTTCCTCATCTCTTTCACAACCAATTCTCCCTCCGGGGAGACATCTGCTGATTATGGGCTATTGAATGTCACTGCATGACTGATAAGAGCTATAGCATCCCATTGTGAGATACTCCACCCAAAGGGAGAAGCCAAGCATTCCTAACTGGATATAATCTGGGTTTGGGGACATCAGAGGCAGCCTTTCCACTGGTTCCCAAAAGGAACAGCTGGGGTTTTCCACTGGACCTTCAGAGGAAGACTACACCCTTCTACAGGATCACTCCTCCGACAGAACGACATCTGCCACTCCAGGAGGACTGCAGCCACTCCAGTTTGGACTGTTATCAATACACTGGCCAAAAGGGTGGCATGTTGTATTCTGACTGTCAGTGGTTTTCCTTTTGTATTATTGTATGTATTTTGTTTCTTTTCCTTTTTCCTAATAAATTGTATTTCTGACTTGGAGTCTCTCACTGGTTTTTTTTTCAAACCAGAACAACATGGAAGTGTATGAGACGAGGTTGGATGGGGCTTTGAGCAACCTGGTTTAGAGGAGGGCTCTCCTGCCCATGGCAGGAGCAGTTGGAACAAGATAAGGTTTTAAGTCCCTTCCAATCCCAGCCATGAACACCAGGAAAGTGCTATAAGAAACATATACAGTGAAAAAATAAAGAGCCCTTAACAGGAATAATTCCTCTTCTGCCTGAATTTGACCATGTGCTTTGATTTTTGTTTGCCATTGCAGAGGCACTCGTTGGCATAATTTTGGGTTTATGTGCCATGTGGCTTGAGCAGAGATTACTGGGTTTCCTGTGTGTGCAGCAACAGATGGGGATGCACTCAGGTCATCTCCATTGCACACAAACAAGTCCAAAAAGAACTTTTTCCTCCTTTCCTCTTTTTCATGTGTTTTGTTTCATTATGAAGGAATTTGTGCTGTTTGAGACAACACCCTACTGCAGTATATTTTTTTTGCTTCCTGCTTCCCAAGAGTGAAACTAGTAATACCTGTCCTCTTGCTATGTTTTGTGTTCATCTCATGTTACAAATTAGCAGCTTTTTGATTGCATGCAAAACAGATGTCCTGTTCTTTCAGGGTAACCCTCCCTTCTTGTTTTTTAGGCCCCAATTGCAATGAGATCCCTCAACTTTTTTTTTTTTTTTTTTTCAATAAACTCTCCAGATGTATTGGGCCTGTGGATAGGATGTGTGTCCTTTAACTCTTTCTCCTCCCCAAAAAGCTTCTTTAGGTAGAGCTATAGGGCAGTTTTTGACTCCGGTTAGAAGTAAAGAATGGACTGGTGGTCAATTATTCCTTAAAAGGCCAAGCACCTGTGACATTTATGTGTCACTTGTGTAGGACTGAGGAAATGGAGAAGGTGGGACATAATTTTGCATGGTTGCATTCCTTAATGGATCTGGCCTGGTTTTGCCTCTACATGTTGCTTCCAATAAAGTTTCCTCTAAAGGGGTGGGACTCAGCCAGTTTCGTTTCAGTACTGATGGATCAGCACTGAGACACCCAGAGGGGATGGAGAAAGACTCTCAGCCAAATGAAAATCAGACAGAAAACATGTTGCATGTACTTTTCTAACTAAAGCCAAGAAGTGAGAAAGTAGGATATTTGCTTACAAGAGGAAATTACTCTAGCATGACAGTAGAACATGTCATCTTTGCCCCTCAGAAACCGAGATCTCAAGAAAAAAAATAAATTTATTATTAAGATGATGGGAGATTTCTGCAGTTATTGTTTTCTCCCCTCTACACATCTGAAAGGGAGAAGGAAGTGGGGAGGAGGTTGCAACCCCAGATATTCATTGCCTTGGCTGTGCTTGGCTGCCAGATCACTCAGCCACACTCTCACCTCCCCTCCTCAGCAGAGTGGGGAGAAAATACTACAAAACAGCTTTGAGATAGAGACAGAGAGCTCACTCACCAGCCACCATTATGGGCAAAAGACAGGAACTGATGAAGATAAATTGATTTCAAATAAAAAATAGAGTATGATAATGAGACACAAACTCAAAACTAAAACCACCTTCTCCCCACTCAGCCCTTTTGCCTAAGCTCAAGTTCATGCTGACTACCCTACCTCCCCTCTCTGCAGGTGTTGCAGGGGGATGGGGAAGGAAAATTGTTAATGCTCTGTCCCTGTTGTCCCTTGCACCTCACACTCTGCCCCTGCTGCAGCACAGGATCTCCCCACAGCTGAAGTTCCTGCTGGGATTCTGCTCCTGTGTGGGCTGCAGCTTCCTCCAGGGTATGTCTAATTGCTTCAGTGTGGGGTTCTCCATGGGCTGCAGAGCGGATCTGCCTCATCATGGCCTGCACCATGGGCTGCAGGTGAGTCTCTGCTCTGGTGCCCAGAGCACCTCCTGTCCCTCCTTCCCTGGCCTTGGTTGTAGGGCTGTGGCTCTCACATCTTCTGGCTTCTCCCTCCCAGCTACAGCTGTGCTACAAAGGCTACTGCTGCCCTCCTTGTTCCCCAAACGTAGCCATGTAAACCCAGCACATGTATGCTCCCCGTGGGAGCCCATGCAGCATTCTCAGTGAGCACAGCATGTGCTGGCCATCACAGAACTGCTGACTCACACAGGGAGCTTGAAGGTGTCCAGGGGTCTGGATCTCTGGGATGCCCTTATCAGTGCTGGTGATGGCAGTGGAGTGACTGGTATTTCCCAAGGAGTGCCTGGCACACCCTTAGTCCATGGGGTTGCTGGGAGCAGTGAGTGCTGTGCTGCTGAGAGTATCTCGTCCATCGGGCACCACGTGCAGCTGCACGTGTGGCAGGCACAGCTCTGAGAAGGCTGTTGGGGTGGATCAAGGCAGCAGAGATATTCCCAGCCTTGCTCTGTGGGGTCTGTAATGGGGAGCCAAAGTTTTAGGCCCCTTCTGCGGCCTTCATGGCACTCAAGAGGCCTTGGGCAGCTGAGCTGTTTTCATGGATATTGGGAAATTACATGAGAACGAAATACGTAAAAACCAGCCCATGTGTCTTTGGCTGGGATGGCTGCGATGTCCGTTACCGTGGCTGGGAGCAAAGGGGCACCTGGCAGCTATGGTGAGGCTGTTCCCATGGCCCATGATGCCCATGCGAATGAGATCTTGAACGAGTTCAGATTCAGCGCTGCTGTTTGAAGGCAGCAGTGCTCTGGCACTTCTTTTGGGAGCAGTCCGTGGCAGGTGGTGCTTGCGATGATGGCCAGGATTTGGGATGACGGCCGGGCAGTGCCGGCGCAGGGCTCCAGGCAGTCCGCGTGCATCCCCTAGAGCAGGGTCGCCGCGCACGCGCACCGGCGGGCCGCAGCGGGGCCGCGCTGCCCCGCGGGCCGCGGCTCCCGCCGGGCCCGGCTGAGGGCCGCGCGGCCGTGACGTCACCGCGCGCCGGACCCCCGGGCCGCCGGCGCCTGCGCGGTGGCGGTGCGGGATGGGCAGCCCGGCGGGCGGGCCCGCCAAGCGCGCGCGCTGCGAGGGGCCCCGCGGCGCCGGCGGCGACCCGCGGCTGTGGGACACGGAGCGGCTCTGCCAGCACCTCGCCCGCTGCGGCGTGGGCGATCCCAGCCTGCTGCGCCGCTTCCGAGGTACGGCGGGCCGGGGCCGGGGTCGGGGCCGGAGCCGGGGCCATGGCCGCGTGGCGCGGCCGCCGGCGCTGACGCTTCTCTTGCTCCCGCAGAGAGCGGGGTCACCGGGAGGATGCTGCTGGACCTGCCGGCCTGCGCTCCCGAGCTCATCCGCATCTGGTGAGCGCCGCCCGCGGGGAAGGGGGGCCGAGGCCCTGGGGCCGCGGCGGCGGCCGGGCCCGCAGGGAGCGGCTGTACACGCGCATGGCCCGGCTCGGCGCGGCTCTAGGCCGCGGCCGCCCCAAACGCCTCGAGCGGAACTGCGCGGGGGGAACGCGAGGGAACGGGCTCGATGGGCTGATCTCGGACCCTCGGAGCAGTTCCCATTCCCTGCTGATCCCGGCACAACCATGGCGCGGGCGCTCGCTGCCCAAATAACCGTGATAAGCAAAAATCCTCGATCCTTTAGCAAGGTTCAATGAAAATTCACTGGGTAGCACAGTGAGCTTTTGGAGTGTTGCTGGGAACAGAGGAGTGAACTCCAAGGGTTGTGATGGGAACTTACTTTTCTGCCTGAACTTGCTGCTTCTCCAACTCCAGGAACGACAGCAGCCCCGATGTTTGACAGAGCGGAGGTGCTGCTCAGGAGAGGCCGAGTGTCACCCGTCTCCCTTGGAGAAATCCAGGGCATTGGACAGGTCAGCCTTGCAGCAGCTGCCGGCACCTGGCTCTCTGTTGTGCCAACAGGAGCGTGGGCTGCTGTGGAAACACAAGTGTTGTAGTGTGTCCTGGCAGAATAGGGGCCTGTGTGTGAGAGTCCTTGCTGCCGTGAGCCCGCACCACCCTGAGCAGTTCGGAGCAGGCAGTCTGGCTGGTAGTGGTCACCTGCCACGAATACAGGGACACTGGGTGCTGTTCTAAAGTGTATAAAGCATTATTCCCAGCAGTGTGGGATGACTGGTCCCAAAACCCTTTTATCTTTCTGGTGATGAATATAGTTTCTTACTTTTCTGGGACAGAGAGAGTATGAATCTGTCCTGCTATTCTGTGTGTTGGAAAGGCCCTTTTGCCTCTTCTCTGCCCTACTGGGGATCCTCTCTTCTTCCCCTCTACTGGGATGTGAGCCTGCTTGCTCACCACATACTTCCTGGTGGTTTTTGATCTTGCAATGTCTTTGCTTTATTCCTTTGTTTACCTTGTTTATACCGTTTCCTTCAAATTTGTTTCAAAACACACGTGCTGGCTCCAGCTGCTTGCTGATGTTGTGGTTGATGGTGCTGAGGTATGCTGGGGTGTGTGATCTGGCAGGTGCACACAAGTGCAGAGCTGTGCTTTCTGCTGTGGGTTAGAGCACTTTGGTGTTGGCTCCTTGGCTGAAGGCTCGTACTGGGGGTGAAGGGCTCTTCCACTGTTTTATTGAGACATCAGCATGCAAAGGAGGAGTGGGAAAGGGCGGGTATCTTGGCATGAGTATTAGAAGACAATAAAAGCCTGCTGTGACGCAGTAGAACAAGGCAGAAGTGCTGTCCTTTGGACAAGGTAAGACCTGCTGGAATCCTTAAGGTATTTTTGGTTTCTCTTTTTGTGGAAGAGGGGTTTAACTGCAGCAGCTTGAAGTGTGCAGATAGAAATGCTGTGATGTCATGGAAGGCAGCTGAAAGCTTTGTTTGTTGCTGAAGTACCAGGTAATTGCCTGACTGAAATGACGAGCTGGTATCTAGTTTTATTTAGGACTTGCCGGGAGGCTGGTTGCTTCTACCAGGGAAGGAGCATCAGGTGTCCAGGACACACTGGACATGTGCAGCCGGTCTGGGGAGTCAGAGACTGTCAGTGCTGAACATGGGCAGCAGGATGGGGTAGCCAGGGGTCCCTCAGCATGGGATACAGGTGATGGGGGCACAGGGCTGTGGAGAGCTCTCAGTTGATGTCAAGAGCAGATGGTGATGGTTTACAGGTGGGTTGTGGGTTTTCTTTTTATAAGATATTGTTAACTTAGTATAAGTTTCCTTCTGTGAGATCCAACATCTTGTTCTTATTAAGCTTGAACTGTTAAGAGTTGCATGAGAAATTGCTCGAGCATTCTGCTTTTAGTAAACATCTCTAAGTTTGCACTAAGAACAACTCTTTTGCTGTCCACTGCACACTGTCCTGCAGTAAGTTTGATCATTTCTCTGTGACAGGCCACTAATGAATGCATGTCTTTAGTTCCCTGGGTTCCTGGATGTTCAGAGGGGAGAGCTTGGGCCACTGGTGTCTGGAGGCAGTGCAGTGAGTTTCCCAGGAGTTCTCATGTTGCTGGCAGTGGATGTTTCATGTGGTGTGCAGAGTGCTGTGTACTGAACACAGATGATGAGTGGGTTTTCTCGTCCTTGTGACCTGTGGCTGAAGGAGGGTGTGGACAAAGCAGGGAGGGGAGTGGATGAGGAAGTGCCAGTTGTCACCATTTCCAAGCAGCCATCAGTAATGCTGTTTTGGCTGTTGGAGTAAATCTGTCTGTAGAGCCCTGGAAAACTACAGTTTCCTCTGTTAACAGGATTTGTCTTGCTTAGGAGGGTCTGGCCTTTTAGACTTCAGGTGAAAAATGTCCTGCAGTTGTTTTCTATCTAAAGGAGGATAAAGAGGAGGGAAGGTGGGGCATCCAGGCAATTGGTCACAGCAGTATCCAGCATGCAGGGTCTAACCTTTTCCTGATTCTCCTCCCCATCCCACCAGAGCAGTGAGCAGCTGTGTGAGACTGAGTTCCTGTCTGGGATTAATCCATGACCATCCTCCTTGGAGCCCAGTGTGGGTCACAAAGGGTTGCCAGATGACATATCTGAACAGATCATATTAAAATACAAATAGTGTGGCCAGCAGAACTAAGGAAGTGATTCTTCCCCTGTGCTGGTTGGGCCATGCCTTGAGTCTTGTGACCAGTTCTGGGTCCCCTGGTTTAAGGAAGGATGTTGAGATGCTGGAGAATGTCCAGAGATGGGCAGCAAGGCTGGTGAAGGGTCTGGAACTCAAACCTTATGAGGAATAGCTGAGGGAGCTGGGGTTGTTTGGCCTGGAGAAGAGGCTCCGGGGAGACCTTACCACTCTCTACAGCTACCTGAAAGGAGGTACCTTCTACAAGGCAACAAGTGACAGGACAAGAGGACACAATCTTAAGCTGCGCCAGGGTGAGTTTAGGCTAGACATTAGGAAAAAATCCTTAACAGAAGGAGTGATTGGGCATTGGGATGGGCCACTCAGGAGGGAGGTGGAGGAATCATCATTGATGGAGGTATTTAAAAAAAGATTGGATGTGTCACTTAGTGTCATGGTTTACTTGATAAGGTGATGTTAGGTCATAGGTTGGACTTGATGATCTCAAAGGTCTTTTCCAACGTGGTTAATTTTGTGATTCTATGTGAAAAATAAGTTGTTAAAGGCATTCATTATATTAGTTTAGTAGCTGCTGGTCACAGTGTTGATTTCATTGCCCTCAGAATTGTGTCATGGAACACATGCTGGTCTGCACATCAGCAAGAGAGCTTTTAATCTTAGAATTGTGGAATGAAATTAATTTCACAAGGAAATTTGGGTTATTGATCAACCCCATTTAGAACCCTGCCATAGACAGGGATGCTTTCTGCTATCCCAGGCTGCTCCAAGCCCTGTCCAACCTGGCCTTGGGCACTTCCAGGGACGGGGTGCCCAGCTGCTCTGGGCAACCTGTACCAGAACCTCAGCACCCTCACAGGGAACAGTTTTTTCCTAATATCCAATCTGACCCCGCCCTCTGTTAGTTTAAAACCATTGCCCCTTGTCCTGACAGTATCTGCTCTTATAAGAATTCCCTCTCCTTCCTTTTTATAGGTCTCCTTAAGGTATTGAAAGGCTTCAGTGAGGTCTCCTTGCAGACTTCCCTTCTCCAGGCTGAAGAGCCCCAGCTCTCTCAGCCTGTCTGCATAGGAGAGATGCTCCAGCACTGCCTTGTGACAGTCTGAGCAGCAGCTACAGCCCAAGAGCTTCCTGTTAGAGAAAGCAATACCAAGTGGCTGAGAAGGAACACTGCTCACCAACAGCTCAAACCTCACATGCCTTTAATATTTTAGGGATTGTGGGTTATTAAATTATTTGGATGAGACTACACAGTGCATCAAGCAGTACTTCTTCCTAATAGTTGGCACTTTATAGTCTTATTTTCTGTTAAATTTTATGTTGAAAGGCTGATATCAAACTGATCTCGGTGGTTAACTGCTGGAGAAAATGTATTTTCTCATTATAGTGTTTGCTTTCATAGTGAGGCTGAAACCATTTACCTCAAGGGCAAGGTTTGCAGACAGAGTTAGTAAAAGTAGGTGTGATAGAGTATATTACCTCTCTCTGGACTTGTCCCACCTGTGCTCTTAGACTGCTATGGCTACAGTAGAGTATCTGCACGGGATGTTTAGCTGTGTGTTGTGAAAGGGACCTTTAATAATTTATTAAAAATGACAGCAAAAAATCTTTGCAAAATAGAAGAATCAGTCTCAACAAAACTAGAACATTTTTAAAACTGCAGTGGTTTTGCTGCTATAGTTGAAATTAATTTATGTAAAATTCAAGTTAATTTGACAAAATTAAACTTTTAATAGACAGTTGACTAACTACAAGAAATTCTTATAAAAATAATTAGTTGGGACTCTGACATTTTAGTTTAAGGAAGTTTTGCATCCTTAAAAAATGTCAGTTTTGGGAAAGCAATATGCAGCATCTCAATAAGTTTAAAGGACTCCAGGTGTAGCTTACACAATTCTTTTAATCAGTTTCTTGGTGGTTTTATTTCTCAGTTCTGTGTAAGTGGCAGAAGCACTTACACTGCTCTACAGACATATTCTGTAGCTATTTGTTTCCTTCCTTCTATACTTGATTTTAGAAGGCTAAATGCTTTCAATTTTTTTCTGGAAAAGTTGCAGTCTTCTTCCATCAAGGAATGTCAAAGTAATGTGAACTTGCATAAGTAATTCTATATGTACTGCAAATTGTAAAGGGACATGCACTGCAGACTTTGCTCTTAGCATCTCTTTTTCCTTCCTAGCTGCCCAGCTGAGCGACTGGAAGTGCTGGCGTGCCTGACACAGCTACAACAGCAGCACATGGAGGTGATGAAGGTAATTCATGCTGTGGGGACACCATGGCCAGATCCTGCCCCAAGCCCTGCACAAGGCTCTGCTCCCCTTGTCTGCCTTCCCCCTCTTGGCTTGGTGCTGCCAGCTGGTGCCTTTCCTTTGCACAGCAGCAAACTCTGGGCCCTTGGGTAGTGGTGGTCTGTGAAAAACCACATTAACTAGAAGAAATACTAGAATCATTGTGTGGAAGCTTTCAGTGGGCATCGGCAGGTTGTGAGGGATTAAATGAGCAGAAGAGCTGTTTGATATGTGTTGGAGAAGCTCCCTTTCACATCCCTCTGTGTAGAGTCTCCCCTTGGTTTATTTTACTAGTTGTACAGATGTGAGTTAACAGACTCCTCCCTGCTTTCACTGTTTCCTGTGTCCAGCTGTTTCTTCCAGTGGTGTGTGTTGCTTTAACTGGGACCAGGACTGTCCATGTTCTGTAGTAGTCTGCATATCTGCTAGAGCCCTCCCAGCTCAGTGACCAAGGGTAGAGAGCACAGGAAAACCTTATTTGTCTCAGTATTTAACCAAGATATGTGTGTGATTGAATGGTTTTCCTGCAGTTTAACAGCAAAGATTAAATGTGTTTACCTTCTCTACTTGAGTCCCTGTAGTTACTGAGATGTCTCTAAAAATATGTGCTTATCAGGAAGTACTTATTTCATATTTTGGTCATCTTAGGGGTTTGTATTTTTTTTTAAGACAAAAGTATCAATCAAAAGTATAATTTCCACCCAGCAATATTGCATTTGATTTTAAACGCTTGAACAGTATCAAGCCAAACACTTTTATTGGATATCTCAGACATGCATTGCATTAATTGGAATGGGAGATTAATAAAGACAGCAGTTTTCACACATGTTATATTTTGGAATTGTGCAGTTGGAGATAACATTTTTAGGCATTTTGACTTCCTCTGCTATGTGAAATAGGCAGTTTTATCTTTTTGGTGTCAAGCTTTAGTAGTTCTCCAAGATAAATTTGGTTGCACAGAGAGGTTGAGGATGCCTGGAAGTGTTCAAGGTCAGATTGGACAGGGCTTGAAGCACCCTGGTCTAGTGGAAGGTGTCCCTGCCCATAATAGTATGTTGGAACAAGATGATCTTTAAGGTCCCGTCCAACCCCAGCCATCCTATGATTCTGTGATAATCTTGATATAGGGTTGGCAGAATATGTCTGTTTTACAGAAGATGAACAGTCTTTTCAACCACATACCTGACCATTCTAGATAATCTTTACCTTGGTGCCAGTTTCTGTTTGATGTCAAATTTTAAATGTTGTGGTTTTTGTTTTTGGTTTTTTTTCCTTGCTTCTGTAGGTTTTTAATGATCCTATTCATGGGCACATTGAATTGCATCCTCTGCTTGTTCGGATCATCGATACCCCTCAGTTCCAGCGCCTCCGGTATATCAAACAGCTGGGTGGCACGTACTTTGTTTTTCCAGGAGCCTCTCACAATCGCTTTGAACACTCTCTGGGGTAAGATGGTGGTTCTGGCATATCTGGTGGTTCTGGCACACGCATCTTTGGCATCTGGATATCCTCAAATTTGGTTCTGCTGCTGTGTAGTGCCAGCTAAGGGGCACTGCTGTCTGAGCATTGGTGAAAACTGCTGGGAGGGTGTTTCTGGTCTCAGCTGTTCCTGTATATCCCATGTGATTGTGGGCTGTTCCCTTGAACTTGTTTTAATAAACACAGATAAACAAACCAAGATGGATCAATGTTAGAGTGTGTTCCTTATCCTTTATTATTCTAAGAATAATGTTAGCTAAAAGCTAAATGCTTTAATGTTCCCCCAGCCAAAATAAAAGTTTTAAAGCATAAACTTAGTAAGTGTACCGGGGCTACTCTTAGGATCTGCCAAACGGTTATAATACACATCATCCAGCACATCCAAAATCCATTTGATCTATAATGGTCGCCTTTGTAGGTAGATGTACTTCACGCAATCCGTGGCAAGTTGTCAGGCTGATAGCTGTCATTCCATTAAGCAGAAATATGATGGATGCAAGGATTCATAGAATGTTGCTAGATCATTCAGACTCCTCAGGAAAGCTGATGAATGACAAATTTGAGCTTGTTTTAAGGGTATATCTCAAGCGGCAGTGAAATTAAGCTTGTAAGTGATTTTTATTCAGGTGATCTGGCCAGCCTAAAGTTGCTTTTGTTGGTGCTGAAATATTGTGGAGTAAATCTTACTTATAACGAGATTCAAATGGCTGTTTGCAAAAGGGTCAGATGAATGAGGCAGCCTGGATTGATTGCATCTGGTAAACCAAAAAGACAGAAATGTGGTTGAAAATAAACAGTTTTCACAACAGAAGTTTGAAAACTCCAGTTCTATCAGCAACTTTTCTTTTGAACAGTTCCATTGATCTATTGAGTTAAATTTAGGATAGTTGTTCTCCACTTGTATATAATTTCAAAGATTTCTACAGTGTTACAAATAGAAGAAGTGAGCTTCATGTGCTTATTAGTCTAGTAAAAAGCCATCAAATGGTGAAATTTGGACTAATGAAACATATTACCTTGTCATAGAAAGCCTTGTCTTGCTTTAAACTGTACTAAAGGGGAACTGTTGTGGCAAATAGAAAAAGAAGTTCGTGCAGAGGTTATAATACACAGTTTATGGAACTATGTCCCATATATTTGCTCCTGCTGGTTTTGTGCCCATTCAATTAAATCAAATCTCAAATCTTAAAATGAATGAGAAGAGAGAAATAATTGCCATGAGCTATTATTAAAGCAGCAGCTTGAAAAAGCACCAAATACTTTGGTGACTGTTGTGGATCTTTGCAATTTGCCCTGACTGGAATTCAAGGATTCAGTGTAAGCTGAGGTACTACAAGATTCTCACTGTCAGTGGTGTACTGCTGTTCCCTTACAAAGCTATTGTGGGGTTGCGTGTTATGAAAAACTGCAGGATGCTGTAGAATCTCTGTGTTTTGGGCATGGTATCCCATGCTTTTTTGCTTTCAAAGGACTAAAACTCTGCTACAGGAAGCAGTTTGTGATTCTCTCCCATGTCAGGGTTTGGGTATTCCTTGTATGCTGCCTCTCAGACAAGGGCTGTGACTTAATGGAGCAAAGCAGAACAGGGGAGCTTCTGTTCTTCTGTTCATCCTAAACTAATGCTATATTTGTTTCTTTTCCTCATGTAACAGGGTTGGCTACCTTGCAGGATGTCTGGTTCGTACACTGAAGGAGAGACAACCAGAACTGGATATAACCCAACGAGACATCCTCTGTGTAGAAATTGCTGGGCTTTGTCACGATTTGGGTAAGGAACATCTGAGATGGGTTGTTGCTCTTGGAAAGCTAACCAAGATGAAAAGCTGGCTGTGAAGTCAGAACATGTGAGATGTTTTGGGCTGCTCAGTGCATGGCCATATTCCAAGACAGGTTTTATCTGTTCTGTTTGGTCTGGAGTACATCTGTGGAGACAGTTCCACCTGAATCTGTAGCCATGCTTAGCTGGTGTTTTTTCCCATTTCCAAATGGTGCTTAGAATTCTGCCCTCAGTGGCTGAAGTGTCCACTTACTTCTGTGATTTCTTCAGGTCTCTTTAAACATTTCAGAATTAAAATTAGTGTTCCTTTCAAAAATTGTAACATTTATTTCATAGCTAGTTCTTTTCTTCAGAGCTGACACAGAGTAATTTAATATTCTCAGTGTTGCTGCACTACTTGCCTGTGATGTAGGTGCTGGAACTGGCTATTAAGTGCAGTAGTACTTGAAGTATCTTAAGAAAGTGTACTTATTATACCCGAGTCTACCTCACAGATGATAGGGAAGGAATTATCTGGATGGTTGCATTCAGAGTGGTGGTTACAGGCTTGATGTCCAGGTTGAGCCCAGTGGGGGGGGCCTGCGCTGTTGGATATCTCTGTTGGTGATGGGGACAGTGGGATTGCTGCACCCTTGGGCAGTTTGCCAGCAGCACCAAGCTGTGAGGTGGGGTCACATGCTGGAGGGAGGGGATGGGGCATCCTGAGGGACCTGGAGGGGCAGAGAGTGGATTGAGAGCAGCCCTCAGGAGAACTTGGGGGCTTTGGTGGGTAAGACAGGACCAGAGGCAGCCCAGAATCCCCCATGTGCTGAACTGATCCCCGGCATGGGCAGAGGTGGGGGGTGATTCTGCCTCTCTGCCTTGCTCAGGTGACAGCCCACCTGCAGAGCTGCCACCAGCCCTGGGCGCCAACATAAGGATGGGGTGCTACTTATACACCCCGTAATTGCCCCAAAGCCTTGGAGACACTCAAAGGGCTGGAACCCCTCTGCTCTGGAGCCAGGCTGGGAGGGCTGGGATTGCTCAGCCTGGAGGAGAGAAGGCTCCAGGAAAGCCTTAGACCACATAAAATGGGTTTCAGGAGAGCTCAGAGGGACTTTGGACGAGGGCTTGGCATGACAGGACAAGAAGGAATAGCTTCCCACTGGCAGAAGGCAGGCTGGATGAGATATTGGGAAGAAATTCTTCCCTGTGAGAATGGGGAAGCTCTGGCACAGGTTGCCCAAAGAAGCTGTGGCCCCCCCATCCCTGTAAGTCTTCAAGGCCAGGTTGGACAGGACTTGGAGCAGTCTGGGCTAGTGGAAGGTGTCCCTGCCCATGGCAGGAGTCTGAATGAGATAACCTTTAATGTCTGTTCCAGCCCAAACCAGATTCTGTGACGTGTCAAGCAAAGTCAAATTCAGGACAATTCAGATCCTAAGCTTGCTCAAGAACTTTTTGCTGACAACTATGTCTCAGGCTGTGTAATCTTTATATTTAAGGTCATGGGCCATTTTCACACATGTTTGATGGAAGATTTATTCCACTCACTCGTCCAGATTTGGATTGGAAGGTAGGCTTCTCACTATTAAAATAAAAAGACAAACCTGAAATTATTTTAGAGACATAATAATTAATCTTAAAAGAGTCTCAGTGCTTGTGAGGCTATAGTGGTCATCTGGCCTTACATTGTTGCATGATTTTGATGGCTTAAATGACAACCAGAATGTTGTTTCCTAATCTTGTGATGATATCCTTGTTAGGGCCACACTGATCATTTTGGCCAGCATTGTGCCTTAAAATGCGTGTTGAGAGCTTTCTACAGAATTTATTTTGCATTTGCAAAATACTAACTGGCAGTTTGCTTTCCATTATGTTTAGTCCAAGGACAGGATATTAAATAGTGTTTAGAGTTCAAAATTTCCAAAATTTTGAACAGAGTTTCAGCAGTTGTTTGCTGTGAATGAAATGCAACACAGCCCTTTCAGGGCTCTCTCTGCTTGTAATTTTTTAGCAAAATCAGATGCGTAAACTGGTTAATCCTTTACACAGCAAAATTGATTTTTTTGTCTTTTAGTATTTTAACTGCCTTGCTGCTGTTTGTCAACACACAGAATTAACAGCTCTCTGTGTTTCTGGACTCTGTAGACCAGGTGATTTCCTGTTCTGTTTAATTGAAAATGACTAGGAAAGCACCCAGCTGCTGCACTTCACACCAGTCTGCCCATGTGCCCTGCTAGGCAGTGCTGGTGACTGGGAGTAAAGCTGTGAAACTGCAGGAAAGATGCTTAAACTATGTAATATAGTATTTGGATGGGTTGTTTTCACAGCATGAAACTTCTTCTGTTCAAATGTTTGAGCACTTGATCACTTCCAATAAACTAGAAGAAGTCATGAAGTCCTATGATCTTAACCTGGAAGAAGATATGTTGTTCATCAAGGAACAAATAGGAGGGCCTATAGATGAAACTGCCTGTGTGAAATCGGTGAGTCAGTGTATTGCTCCTGTGGTTATCCCAAGAAATGTCTTCATTTCGCTGAAAGAACAGATAACGTTGGCTTCTGCTAAATGTTACTTCTCGCTCCATGAAGTTCTGGGAATCTTGTCACAACTGATGCTGGAGGAGTTTTGTGTTTATTTCTTACAGTGCTGGCAGATATGTTAATGTGCTTACAGCTCCCCAACAATTCTTACCCTAAAGCCTCTAGATCAGAGGAAAGCTGTAGAAAGTTACTTGTATTTAGGGAACCTAACAGATGACTGGGATCCACTCAAGGGTACTTGGATGGAAGGATTTGGAAGAAGTGCTCACCAAGGTATTTTTCATCATTTACCCGCTGTCTTGGGTGGTCCCAGTTGACTGGAAATCAGCAATGTGACTCCATGTCCAAGGGTCAGGATGATCCAGGGAACTACAGGGCTGTCAGCCTGACCTTGGTGCTAGGGAAGGTCACAGAGCAGATCACCCTGAGTGCCATCATGCAGCACGTACAGGACAAGCAGAGAACCAGGCCCAGCCAGCCTGGGTTTAGGAAATGCAGGTCATGCTCAATTGGAGGGCAGGAAGGCTCTAGGGAAGGAGGGAAGGATCCCTCAGGAAGGAGGGATCTGGACAGGTTGGATCAATGTGCCTGGGCCAATTGCATGAGGTTCCACAATGCCAGATGTTGGGTCCTGCTACAGGCTGGGATCAGGGCAGCTGGAAGTTGGCTAGGCAGAAGAGAGGTGCAGTTTGGTTGACAGTGACTGAAAATGAGCCAGATGTGCCCAGGTGGGCAAGAGGACAATGGCACATGGCCTGTACCAGCCATAGCATGTCCAGCAGGACCAGGACAGTGACAGTGCCCCTGTGCTGGGCACTGCTGAGGCCACAACTCAAACTCTACATTCCATTTTGGGCTCCTCACTTGAAGAAAGATGCTGAGGTGTGATGGAGAAGGGGAGTAGAGCTGGGGAAGGGTGTGGAACGCAGGTATGATGAGGAGCAGCTGGGTGATCTATGGGGGCTTGGCCTAGAGTAAAGGAGGCCTTCCCCAATCTGGATAACAAAACTGGGCACTGGCAGCAACAAGGCAGTGAGCAATCCAAGCTTGGCCCAAGTGCCAGAGCCACAGCAGCTTTCATAACAGCAGCAAAATGCTTGGATTTATTGCACTGGCAAGCATAGAGGCAGGGATAAGATTTGAAGAAATGGGTTGCCTCAAGAGGCAAGCAATAAGAGATGGCAGTGGTTAATCATTGCAACTCTATGAAAGACCTCGATTTACACTTTACAGCTTTTGTTATCTCTTCCAGGACACTCATTCAGTTGCCACCAGTTGCTACCAGTATAAAGAACTGGTAGCAGCTGAAGTCAGTGGGAGATCTGTCAGGACAATCTGGTCCTAATCAGAATTTATAGGTAGTGCCAAACAAGTAACCCACAAATGTTCACACTTGCCTGGTATTTTCTTATTTTCTGCTGCAGGAGTGGGTAGCAATCCCATGGCAAATACAAGGACCTTGGCATGGTGAAATTGAGTCTGAGATTCTATAGAAAGAGGACATCCATTTACAAAATCCACAAGCTGATTTTTATCCCACTGGGCTTGTTTGCACATGAATCTTGGTGCCTGCCACTAGCATTGATCTTGTGCCAGGTTCTTTACCCGTGTTTGGTTTGCCTTGTTTGGATTCTGTGCCTGTTTTCCAGCAGGATTCTGTTGGAGAGTGGTTGTTGGAACAGGGCCATGGATCAATGGAATATCCTTTACAGCAATCATCTGTTTAAGACCCTAGAATCAGGCTGTGTCTGACCTGGGAACAGAGCTTGGGAAACAGGCTCTGTGTCTAGGCCTGGGAAACTGCACACTGGACAAGGTCTGGGAATGAGATAATAACGACAAGCATATCCTTGAAGATATGCTTGTACAAGAACAGACTGTAAGACAAGATATACCCAGAGAAGATGAGATGTACTAGAAGACGTGACTTAGAGATGAGAACTTGGCTTGAGAAACTTAGCTACAGCTGTCACTGCACGTAGGAGAAATAAAACAAAGACCTTTGTAAAACAACCATTGAGAGGTTGCTGCTGACTGTGCTTGTAGAAAACCCTATATAAGCTGACTGGATCTTTCAATAAATCAGAGCTTGCTATCAGTCATATTGATTGTGTGCTTGTCTTCCCTCACTGCCTGCTTCAGGATTCCAGGAAGAGGAGTGCCACACATGATACATGGCATCATCTTCCTGGTGTTAGGCAGCAGATTGCACTGGCAGGCTGTGCACTGTGGTGGAGGCCTCTGTCATGTCATGGACAATGGGTGTTCAGGCACCAGACATAAACAGTGTCCTGATCATGTCCCATTAGCACAGCTTTGTGATCATGGTATTTTTATCCATGATGTGCTTGCATCCTGCTGCTGGCATTTGTTTCTGTTGCTATTCACATCAGTTTTAGTATTTCTGTAGTACAGGTAACATGGAAGCCATGTTTGCATACAATGCTTTCCACTTTCAGAATTTCAGGGCCACTTTGTGGCATTTTTTTAGGTGAAGGATCTTTATGTTTTCAAGAAAATGTGCACCTTGTATCTTACTATTTTAGTGTTCATTTCCTGTTTACCTTATGGCTGAATTGATCCTTGTGAGACAGAAGTTTTAAGTAGCTGAATATTCAAAAAGTTTTTCTTAAAACTTCTAGGTACATGTTTTTAAACTGTTCTATGAAGTTGTGGGTTACAGAAGATTTTCAGGACATATTTGTGTATTTAGTTCCCTGAAAATGAAATAATTGCAAAATTTCCCCTCTTTGTTGGTATGTTCCTTCTTTTTGTTTTTTCATTTCAAAGCTGCGGGCTTTCTTTTAGTAGAGTATTGGGCCTTGTGTTCATGGGTTTTATTCTTCTTGAGATTCTGAGAAGACAGGCACTTAGGCCCTGTTCTGGATTTCTAATGCCTGATAGCTTCTGGAAGTTCTTTCCTTGTCTTTGTGTTCTTCACTTACCTCAGTGTTGGATGTTTATCACAAGCAAAGTCAAGGTGTATTCCCACTGTCTTTAAAAAGCTGTCTGACATTGTTGGTATACTTTAATTTCTTGTTGTTTCTGATGGTTTTCTTTCTTTCTCCCCTGTCAGTGGCCCTACCGTGGTCGACCAAAGGAGAAAAGTTTCCTCTATGAGATTGTAGCTAATAAAAAAAATGGCATTGATGTTGACAAGTGGGATTATTTTGCAAGGTACAAATCTTACATTTTATTATGAATTCCTATTGACAAAATGCTGCTGTATGTACAAAAATTATCATATCGTTAAACACTCGGTGGAATATTTTCTAGGGATTGTCATCACCTGGGAATCCCAAATAATTTTGACTATAAGCGATTGCTTGTCTTCACTCGGGTCTGTGAAGTGGAAAACCAGAAGCACATCTGCACCCGTGACAAGGTGAGCAGTGTGGGGAGCCCAGGGGGGTCAGAGCACCCGGGGGCACACAGGGGAGCTGCACCCTGTGCTGGGGGTCCTGCTGCATGCTCCCTTAGCCCAAAAGGGAGAGAAGTATTTGCTACTCTGAAAGTTTTTCTCAGAAGCTGCTGTTTGGGGGAGGGACAGAACAAACCACTGTTTGAAAGGATTTGTGGCAGGTCCTGTCAGGGGTGACTCTGCAGACCCATCAGATCTGTGTAATCCTGCTCCAGGTCTGCTGGGCAGGACATGAATGTGGCTGTGGTGATGGGCTGCTAAAGGGATGAGGGTGCTTTTCACTGCCAGGCTGCCTGGGGTCACTACCAGCATGCTGCTCTCCTGCGGTGACCTGAGCCAGTTTCAAAATTTGGAAATTGTGAATAATCATTCTGCTTTAGGCTGTGAATGGGAGGAGACAACTAATTTGATTAATGGATTGATTGTTTTAATTCTCTTAGTAAGACAGTGGCAAAAGTAAAAATGCTGATAGGGTTTTTTTGATTCAGGAAGTTGGAAATTTGTATGAGATGTTCCACACCCGGAATTGCCTGCACCGGAGAGCATACCAGCATAAGACTGGCAACATCATTGAAATAATGCAAGTATATTTTCCTTTCCTTCCTTTTAAATTTATATTTAAATTCCTGAAACAATCCATATCCATTTGGAATATTCAGAAAATCAATAAGGTGTGATACAGAATAAAAGCTACCTCTGATTCTTGTGAGAAGACTTAGTGCTTAGAGTGTCATAGAGGCTTTGGTTAACAAAACAAACAAAAACAGAAAGAGAGGAGGACAAAAGCATCCTTCCACGTTAAATTAAATTAGAGAAAAATTACTAAAGGCTTGAAGAAGCACAGGACCAGGGTGTGCTTAAATCATTTAAACTGCTGACAGCTGAAGTCAAATCCTTATCTGCAAGTTAGAGACCACTTAGCTCAAACTGCCTGGTTACTACAGCAAGATTATTAACAAAGTCATGAAAGGGTTTATGTAGCTCAGCTGAGGCCTGGCTTTATGTTTATGTAATGCAAGATTTGCTCAGGACCAACTCAGCTGGCTACCTGCTGTTTTACCTCTCTTGTTGATGTCTATAGGATTTTCCCTGTAAGATTATTATTTTTACTTTTCTTGAGAATCAGAAATACTTGTATTCCCAAATATTATTTCTTCAGGGTCTTGTCTGCTGGGTAACTGTCTGTTGAGTTTGGTAAAGAGGAATGTTAAGGATTACAAAGTACAAGACGAATTTGGATTACTTTAATTTCATAAACTTCAGCTCCTGATTTAGGGGTCCTCTAAAACTCAGACTGAAAATGCTCATGTTTGACAGTACCTACATATGACAAGTCAAACATATTTTTTAGTTTAGAAAAACTCAGTTCCTGGCTTCCTGTAATTATAGCAGCCTTTCCAAAAGAGTGTCCAAGCTGGAAATGACAGCAAGGTACATGGAAATTTGGAAGAACCTCATCTTTAGAATGTCGTTTTTTATCCATCTGAAAATACTGTGTTTGTGATACTTTCCATTTACAATGCTTTGTACCCTCTCAGCTAACTTGGGAAGCAAGGAGTCTGTAAAAAGTTACGGTCATCTATGAGGGAACCTTGCTGCAGCTGAGGGGCCGTGTCACTGTTTTGCAGGGTTCTGCAATTGTCTCAGCAGTGCTAAACCCAGTCTAAAGCAGAACAAAGTGAATTTGCTCATTCATCTAAAGGTTACATTCTGTTCTGAACCTGTCTTCAGTGAATCTCTGTTGGAATGTGCAGTGACAGCATGGAGACAAGATGTTGCAGTGATCAGTGTCTGTTGTGTGCTGGGGATACAGTTTCATCTGTTGTCTTCTGTTTATAACATACTAATTTGTTGCATTTTGCCTGTTGACTAGTGAGGTGTTTCAAAACTATATTATCCCAAAATCGTAATTTTGTCTCAATCTAGGATAACAGAAGCCTTTCAAAAAGCAGACAAATTTTTTGAAATAAGAGGTTCTGGAGGAAAAGTGTATCAGATTTCTACAGCAATGGAGGACATGGAAGCCTACACTAAACTAACTGGTATGAGGCCTCAGAATTATTTTTTTAAGTAAAAGGGCATGAGTACCTGTTAAAGTGCTGTTTTTACTGCTTTTGTGCACAGAAGGTGGGGCAGACCTGGGCTGTCTAATGCTTATGCTCTGAAATCTTGCTAGAAGGGGGAGAAAGACCTTCTAGTTTAAATCACTTTTATGTTGAGAGAGACAAATGTTAGAAGGTCCTGCCCGTGCCCCGAGTTTGTTGCACTTGTCACAAGTGGGATGTGAGTGAGCTCTAAGTGGTACTACAGGTGGCTCTGTCAGGTGAAGTTCTGGATGTGTGTTGTGGTGTGAAGCTATTCCCAAAGCAGGTTCCAAACAGCTCTTGTGGGGTCTCAAGTTGCCCTGCTTTGCCTGCCTCTCCTGGTCTGTGCTGTGGGGCCCCAGTGTTCCCCAGGTTGTGTTCAGAGCTGCAGTGGGGCCAGGCAGCCCTGCTGCTCCAAGGCTCTGTGGTTAGCTCTGTGTGTGCAGGGCAGGGGTGCTGCAGGTCCTGCTCAGAGCTGCTCCTGATCACTGGCAGCTCTTGCAGCACCTGTCAGCTACAGCTCACCAGGACTTCCAAGCCAACCCTCCTGAGTTTCCATCACTAGAGCACAGAGACTGAAGAACTTCTATCTTTGGTCCGTGGATGAAGTGACAGGGCCTGAAGGGCACTGTTGCAGAGAATCCTGTGTGCCTTAGCCTTTGTCATGCTAAAGGCCTTCTGCTGGCGGTCCTTCATATGCCACAGCCATATGCAGTTTGACCACACTTCTCCTGCTCTGGTGAGGAGCTGTGAGTCTCCTCTGTCATTGTGTGCTTCTGCTCAGGGCAAGACAAGGGAGGCTGGCTTTGAGGGGCAGTAGTTGGGGAACGTGTGTTGCATTGCTGAGCAATGGAAGGCTGGGCAGAAAGGAAGGGGCTGAGGTGAAGTTGTTCCTGTGCTGGACCTGTTCCTGGGGGGCGGCTGGCCTGGTGGGTCCTGCTGTAACCACCTGCTTACCTGTGGTACCTGGTGAGGAGCATGGCTCAGGGCAAGGACAGCAGGGCTGTGCCCAGCCTCTCACAGTCTGCCACAGCAAGGAGCTGCTTGCTGGGACCATCTGTTCAGCAAGGAGGGCTGAACAGCAAGGGAGAGTGATGGGAGGAATGTACCAGCATCAGATGTACAGTGAAGCATGAAGGACAAGTATGGCCTCCTCTTAAACCTCCTTCCTGCCTCTGGTGCTGTGAAGGGTTAGATTTTTCCTTTTTTTTTCCTTTCGATCAGGGAATTTTCTTCCAATTGTTTCCTAAGAGATGGGAATAAATAAGAGAGACAAAAGATGTAGCCAAGGAGAAGGGGGAAGGGTGCAATTTGCTTCCATTCTCAGATAGCGGGAAATTTTGGGTGAGGAGAATTTGCTGCCACAGCAGAGTTCTGCCCTTTGCTGCTTTCTGCTTATGGGGAGGGTGGTGAGCTTCTGCTCATGAGAGCAGCTGCTGAACTGGGACCTTTCCAACACCTGACCTCGCTGAGAACGGGTGTGTGGGAGAAGGCTGGCGCCGGGTCTCTGCCTCTGCTCGCTGTCGCTGCCGGGCTTGGTGTTTGTTTGCCTGGCTATGCACACACACGCTAGGAACGAACTGCTATTCCTTTGCCCGTATCTTTGCCTGAAAGCCCTGTGATTTCAAAGTTACAATAATTTGGAGGGAAGGGGTAATATCCTCACTTCCAACGGAGAATTCTTCTCTGGCAGACACCTGTCCTTTAATCCAGGACAAGTGCTTGCAACCTGGACACTCCTAAGGGTTGTTTCGGCAGTCCCTGGTGAGTGATGCTTCTGTGTAGTTGTCCAGTTATGGACCTCTACAAATTATGAACCTCTGGGAGGTTCTTCAGCAGAAGTTTCCCTAGCTTTCTTCCATGGTGGGTGAAGAACCATGGCTGTTTTTTAATGTGTTCCCTCCTGATTTGGCAGTAAATCCTAGTTCTAGTAAAGGCTGAGACAGCAAAGCATTCCCTGTCACTGCTGCTTTTGCACAGGGAAGATGTTCATGGGCTTCTTATTTTCCCTGCATTATCTTTCTGAAGAGACCTGGTTTGTGGTTCCTCATGGAGAAGTTCCTGGCTTTGGTTGACCTTGTCCATTAAATCAGTTGAAGGTGTTTTGGTACATGTCTCAGAGATTGTTCTGGACCCTGTGGGAGCTCCTCAGGCTGGTTGCAGCTCTCGGTGAGCTCTTGCAGGGCTGTGCTTGCAGCATGTGTCAAAGCTGCCCAGGTGTTCCTGGCCAGGGAATGCAGTCATAGGGTGCAAATCAGGCCAGCATCATCCTGTCAACAGCAGTCTCTAGGACACCCAAAAATAACCTCTCTGCTCTGAAGCCACATCAAAAGAAACCTGTCTTGCTCCAGCTGATGGTGGGAATCTTGCTACATGTGTCACTGTCATGTGGAGTCAGGAGGGAGGATTTTGATGCTGGCATCCAAAACCTGAGAAAACCTGAAGGCTTAAGGGCCATTCTTTATTTTTTTACAAGATGGAGTCTTTACCTATGGCCTGAGCTAGTTAGTGATGGAGTTCAGGATAGTCTGCTAAACAAGACTGGCTAAATAAGAGGAGAAAGTAACTTCTAGGGAAATAACAAAGTATGTCGCCAGAGTGAGAATTGAGATAGCTTTTCTGCCAACAACCATTGTGAATCTAATGATAATTAAGATAATATTGTGACTTCTCATTGTCAGTCTTAGTTCTGTCATTCCCTGAAAGTGTTTTTCCTGAACCAGTAGTTTTTCTGGTTGCTTTAACCTTTGGCCCTGTTTGTTCATTTTACTGTGACACTGGATTGTGACATACGTAACAAAAATCAATGCAACTTTGGCAGACTCTGTCTACCTGGAAATTCTGCACTCAAGTCATCCAGAACTGGAGGAGGCACGAGAAATTTTGCGTAAAATAGAACGACGTGAATTATACAGGTTTTTAGGAGAGACTCGACCTGAATCAAAGAAGGAAATTATAAAGGTAATGTCCCTTAGCAAAATGTTCTGTCCCCATAAAAATGTTCTTGAAGTTGCTGAACATCCATTTATCTCCATGTGGGCTTTGTTTAGTTTCAGGGTTTGGGGTGTTTTTGCTTTTTGCTATTCAAATAATAGAATCAAAAGTTTTCCTTCCATCTTTTAAGTAGCTGAGCCATGGAACATATAAGAAATAGGGGAAAGTTTTATCTACAACAGTCAGAAGAATGCCAACAGGTGGAAATTCAGAAGCTGAATTATTGCAGAATTATTTTCAGGGAAAACTTTTATGAAAAATAGAAAATTTTATAAAAGACTCTTACAGTCCATTGATTGAAAAGGTTATTACATCATTTGATACTCATGAAAATTTCAAAACAATAAGGAATGCGTTTGCTTTGAATTGTAATTTGTGTGCTTTGCTTTGAGAATAAATATCAAACTGAATAATAGCTGCTGAATTTCTTGGTGTTAAATTCTGTACTAAGTATGAGAATACATGTACTTTTTGCAGTCTTTTTCATGAATGCTTTTCAAAGCAGATAGCAGTTTAATTCCTCTTGTCTTATTTCAGAATAATGATATATTAGAGCTCACTTCAGCTGGTTCAGCTCTTTCAATGTGCTACACTGTGTTGTCAGATCATCGGTTACTTATCCCCAAATTTCAGCTATAATGGTGAAAATTTTCTATTCCTGATTTCCAGAAATGGATGTCTGTATCTAGAAAGGCTTCATAAAAATAACTCATCTCTTTTAAAGGATAAGGTTAGAAAAGGACTACTAGCTGTTCATCTTTTTGTTTGAAGAGAAAGTTTGCTTGTGTTCTTTGTTTAAGAAAAAGTGTTAAGAGAATCTGTATTACAAAAGCAGGAGGAAATAGGTGAAAGCAAACATGAAATGGTTGTACATGGATTGTCAAGTTTCTGCCCTTCTGAGGAGGAGGTTGGGATAGGTGGGCCAACAAATAAGGAGACAGGTGTGAGAGCAAATGTTGTAAGTTCCACCTTTAAACAGTTCCTTTTAGAAGCTTGGTTAATGCGAGGAAAGCTCTCACTTTGAAAGTCCAGCCAGAGGCATTGAATCTTGGGGTATCCAGGGTGTTGTTTTGAAGGGAGACTGGATCACTGTTGGTGCTGTAATTATATCCAGCCACTGCTTTGCAGCTCGGGGTGCACAGCTGAGGGCTTGAGGGAGGATGTTTCCTGCTGTAGTGCCTGTGGCAGGAATGTCAGAGGCTCAGCCTCCTCCCAGCGCTGCAGGGGAGCTGCACAAGACAGAGCTGTGTCTGCTCTGCTCCTTCACACACCACAAGGTTGTGTTTAGAACCACAGAATGGTTTGGGTTGGAAAGGACCTTCAAAGGTCATCCAGTCCAACTTCCTGCCATGGACAGGGACAATTTCCACTAGACCTGGCTGCTCCAGCCCTGAGCAATTCTGTGATCTTCAAGCTGGCCAGAGCCAGGGGAAAATCCCAAACAGCTTCAGAGTTCTCAAATTCAGGTTGAGTTTCCAGTTAATGCAAACCAGAGAGGATTTCAAAACAATGCAAGCAAAGTTAGGCAATAAATTAACACAAACCACACACATGCCTCAGTTTGGCAATGCGTATGATTTTCTGCTCATCTGTCTCTGCATCTCTGCAATGAAAAATAAACAGAAAAAAAAAAGCAAAAAACAAACAAACCAAAAAACAACCCAGCTGCTTCTAGTGGAATTCCTTCCCTCCTGAACAGTCTCCAGACTGCTCCGGGCTGCACTCCCATGAGTCTCAGTTGCTCCCAGGAAATCTTACTGCTTCAAATTTTGCATCTTCCCCAGAACACAGCAGCCCTGAAAAAAGGCCACTGCCTTTGAATGAGGACTCACACATTTCAGTGGACAGCTGTACTCCATCTAACCATGCTCCTCTGCTTTACGTTAGCCTAAGTGTCAGCAGGGAATATTTCCTTGGGGCCAAAACCAAATAAAACCCCTTTGTGGGTTTCAGCTTTTGTGGAGTACTTTAGCGGAGTACTATAGCAAAGTACTTTTTGTGGTTTTTCTGTTCTGTGGTTGTCTGTCTCTTGTGGGTTTTTTTTATGTTTACTGTACAGATATAAAAGCTTTATTAGAGGATAAGATCCTGCAGCCCTTCATTTAAAAAGTTCAGTGGAAATGTCTAGTATTCAGCTTTGGAGAACTTAATTGCAACACATTTGTATTGGTACAACAGTTGACTGAAGGTACTTATTTTCTGCTTTCATGCTTCAGCATTCTGGATGGTGCACTCCTGCTCTCCCCCACCCCATCATCAGGTGTAAAGCTCCTCCCTCACAGACTGGTAGATTTTGGGTCTTCTCATTTGCATATGTTTGGTTTGTTTCTAAAAACTGGGGTTTGTACTAATGGCTATGGTGTACAGTAATTCAAACAACCAGATTGCTGCAAGAGTCTTGTCAAGCTGTGAAGGATTGAAAGCTTTGGTTTAAAAATATATTGTGTCATGTGTTGTGTTGCCTTGACCTAGACCTGAGAGTGCATAAAGGTAATTTGAGTTACTGAGTTAATCCTTTGGTTTGGTTTCTTTCAGAGTAACAGCCTGGCAGAAAGCATTGCTAATTCCAAGCCAGAGAAGGATCCTCCAGATGTGGAGCTAAAGGCTGAGAATTTCATAGTTGATGTAAACACCTCTCAGAGCGGGTTCAAGTAAAAACTTCTCAATCACAGAGGGTCTTGTGTACCCTGGTGAAAGAACAAACCCACAGGGTGTCTGTAACTCTAGGCCTGGTTCAGTTTGAGGGTCTGAGGGCAACAAGTTTCCCATGGAAGGTTTGCTGTGGTGGGAGGGTGTGGGTCAGGCAGTGGGGAGCATCATTGGGCTGTCATCTGTACACTGCTTCTGGTGACAAATGGGCTCTCTTGTCACTGTCCTCACTCCAACAAGGAGCAGTGGAGATGGCAGCAGCCTGGGGACCACTGGATGGGTCAGGAAGGCTGGAAACCTGTGGGGCCAGTGGGAGGAAAACAGGCAAAGTGACCACCAGGCTCCAGATGTTGCACTCCTGATGCCTAGCAGGCACAAAGCACCTGCTGCCATGGCCCAGTCTGCAGCCAGCAGTGGTGGGAGGGAGGGAGGGAGGGAGCTTGAGACAGAGGAGAGAGCTGGGGCAGTCTGCAGGCATCACACAGCTTACTCCCTGTTCTCAGTTCATTCTGGGAAGAGTGAGTGGCTTTCCACAGAGTGCTTCACGAGCTGCTTCTCCAGCGCCCTTGCCTTGAAGGTTCACTTCATGGGCCAAAGTGTAGCAGTTCACTGAGTTTTAAAGCATTTGCCTGGGGTTTTCCCATCCCACAAACTGAAATCGTAGGAAAGCGGTCCCTGCTGACCACAGAAATGTTGGTGTACCGAGGCAATATAAACAATGTCTAAATCTCATGTTTATAACTGTAAGCTCTGCTGCACCCTCTGTAGGTTGTGTGTTTTAGGGAGGCCCAGGCTGGCAATGGACCAGTCCACTTCCAGTGCTGGAACTGGAATGTTTCAGAGCACAGCTGGGATCTGGTCACTGTAAATACGAATACCCACCTGATAGCATCAGAGCAAGAGGGGGTGGAAGAAAAGATGGAAAATACAAATACCAAATTAGTTTTTTAAGTAATAATTTGTTAATTACTGTTTTATTTGATGACTGTAATTTTCAGGAGTGGAGTGTGTTTGGCCTTTTGTATTTATTGTGAGAAAACTAAAGACAAACATTAACAAATGCCATTTTCTTTGTTTTACACACAAGGTTATCAGCATGGATTATGGAATGAAGGAACAGAATCCAATTGATAAGGTTCACTTCTATTGCAAGGCTGATCCTTCCAAGGCAGTCAAAATCAGTAAAGAGCAGGTAGGTTTTTACTTTCCTTCTGAAAAGCATTTTCACCACCTCTGATGGAAGTGATCAGTCCTGTGTGGTTGTTCATGCAGGATTTCTGGAGAGGTGGTTGGATCCATGGCCTTGCAGATCTTCAGTGTGTGTTGTACTGTGATAATCTGGAACTCTACCAGCCTTTGTATATGAACAGTGTTTAACTGGAATACACTAGGAGTTGGACTATCACAATTGCTTTGGATAAAACTCATGGGTTGTAGTGGAGCTTCTTACTGCTTTCCTTCTGTATTCCAAGAGATAATAAAGCTTTTTTTCTGTTTTATTTCAAAGGTTTCAAAGCTTTTACCCAGAATATTTATGGAGCAGGTTGTCCGGGTTTATTACAAAAGTCAGGATCCACATATTATTTCAGCTGCAAAACAGTACTTTGTTCAGTGGTGTATGCAGAATGATTTCACCAAACCACAGGTAACAAATTCACTTATTCCATTTCTTGTTTAGAGCTCATCATCTTCATCCATAAGCTTGCCTTTGCATTAACAGTTTGGCCATTCAGGCAGAGGCACCCACTCACCTAACCCCTGGTTTTATCACAGCACCTATCTGGGGGTCCTTTGGTTTCACTGAAGTAGTGCTGGAGACACCTGAAAGTACCATAGGATAATAATAGAATGGTTTGGGTTGGAAGGGGACCTTGAAGATCACCTTGTTCCAAACCCCTGCCATGGGCAGAGACACCTTCCACTAGACCAGGTAGGGGAAAGAGCTGCCTGCATCCTCAAACACGAGAGGCCACCCAGGAGAGGAGTGTTCCTAGGTGGGGATGCAGGCATGGAAAACTGGGTAAGTAAGGCCCGTTCTTAAGGTCATTCTTCTGACATCTGTCTTTTAGAGCAGGTAATTTTAGAAGGGCTTTTTACAAATGGATCAAACAACAGCTCTCCCTGGTTGTAGAGTGTGGTTGTGTCCTCTGAGCACATTGTTCAGTTCAGGCACATCCACCTTGCAGGCTCTGGCATGCTGGAGAGCACAGCAATGTGCATCTCATCAGCTCAGTTCTGATGTTAGGCAGCTGATGGTTTGTGTTGGCAATGCCTAAGCACAGATTAACATCTGTATGTGACTGGGGTGAGCCCCACTGCCTCAGGTGCTCTCCGGCCTTGCTTGTTTTAGACAGTGCAAGGCACATCCCAGCACCAAGGGCAGGTCGATTGCAGCAGTGCTAATGAGGTGCTGTAGTGAGGGCACAGGAAACACTCTAATGATTCTGTTAGTAGACCACTGGCCAGGACAGAGCCAGTTGACCTTCCAGATTTTCTGGTAATAACTTAGGAAGAACTGGATTGCCAATGGTGATGCTTTCTCAGGCAGGGCACTTTTGTCTCTCCACCACTCACTGCAGCAGTTTCCAGCCTGGGATGCACTGTCACCAGTGTTTATTGGTTTACAGAGATTCTGGGACCTTTAATTGATTTTTTTCCAGTTCAGCCTGAGAGTGAGCTGCTTTTCCTCTGTTTTAGAATGGAGAGCAAAAGTGAATTAATGTTTCCTGTTTTAATACTAGGATGGTGATATTGTTGCTCCTCATCTAATTCCAATGAAGGAAACCTGGAATAAGATGACAGATAATGAACACAGGAGAGCCTCAGAACCCAGCTGCGAACAAAGGCTTCCTTTTGATGAGTAACAGGCTTCTTTTCGGTGCTATTCAGTCTGCTTCCTCAGAAGATGAGTAAATTTGAGCATCAACTTTTCTAAAAGCTGATTGGATGGACTGGAATAACTCTCAGAAAATGCAGAATGCATTTTGCAATACAGAATGTTTTAATGTAGATACTTAAAGTACATATTCCAGATGGGCTTCTAAGAAACAACTTATTACATCAGAGTAAACTCAGTTCTCATTTATTTTTTAATGTATTGGCACTGTGTAGCAGGAGTAACTTTAAAAATTGCAATTAATTGGTATTACAAGATTTTACTACTCCATCTTGTCCTGATCCCTTCCTTAAATGTGCTCTTGCGTGGCTTAGCAGAAAAAATCCCAACCCAGGTTTGATGGGGTTTTTGGGAGGGTTGGGGTTTTCTTAGTGTCTGAAGAAGAGAGGGATTAAGTATGCTTCTGAAAATGCAGTGAGGTAAAGAAGAAATTACCAAGGGTAGCATCTTCAAAATTAGAAAAATTAATTTCATGGGAAAAAAAATGGGAAGGGAGAGGTGAATCTTGTGATAATCAAAGATTAAATTTCTGGTATTTAAAAAAGCTGGTGCAGGCCTCTTGCTGCAAGTGACCACAATTTTTATTGAAGTTAATAATGCATTGAAGTGCCATGCAGCCTTTTATTGTTTTACTGTGTATTTTTGATACATGGAATGTTATCTTTTTTACTGCCTGTCCTGCAAAGACTGCTCAAAAGGCCAGTGCTGTGAGTGGTTGCAGGAAGGCTGAACTGCCCAGGTGTTTGCCAGGGCTCAGGTGTGCAGAGAGGGCAGTGCCAGCAGGGTTCTGCCCTGTTCTGCCCATCCTGCACTTGGCTCTGCTTTACACTGTACTGGGCAGACAGGCTTATCAGGAATACCTCCATTCTTGTATCTGTGCCCTGTTCTCCTGGATCTCATGGCTGTCCCTCTATTATTTTTCTGTCTCTTGTAGATCTGTGAGGGTTCTTACAGTTTTCCTGTACTGGTAGTACTGGTGTGAGTGTTCTGAATGTCTGTGCTGCTGGACAAGTGAAGACCATTTTCCTCTCATCTTTTACTCAGGTCTAAGAGGAATAAATAAAACCTCAAAGCTCGAAAAAGTCTGACCATAAAACTAAAAACACAAAGTAAAAGATTCAGTAATGCTCAGGAATTGGAGCAATCTGTGGCCTTTATACCTGGAATGGGGAGAGGGGTGTTTAACCTCTGGCTCAGGCTCAGCTGTGGGTGGCCAGGGTAGGTCCTGAAAAATAACCCAGTGGGAATGTGCTGTGAGAGAACTCCAGAACCCCTGTAATATCTCCTTTGCCCTTTTTATTCTGGGAACTGGTGCTGTTAGAGGGAGGGAAAATGAGTAGCCATGTACTTCTGCTGCTTATGTATCTGTGCTCATGTGTCTGAAGGTGTAACCTGTGGTGCTCCTGTCTAACAGTATTTCAGACCTGCAGGTGAACCGGGTAATTGGTTAGAAGGGCTTGTGACCTCTTTAAAATCTTTTAAAAAATTTACTATTCCTCAAGAAACAATATCTTAGAGCGAAGGCATTTAACTGCATAAGATCAAGTATAATTTTGATATAATTTTGTTCTTGTTGACTTGATTTGTTTTTAATTTGTTTCTAACTGTGCACTTTATACTTGGGAAAGATCTTTTATGTTAAACCAAAAGTTTATACTTAATGTTAAGTTCTGAGAGCATTTATTTTCTCAACATCTGAGCCTCTCTGAAAAATAAATTTATAAACAATGATTTACTATTCTTTTAAAGAATTGCAGTGTCTGGACTTTATTGAAAACAGTCTTACTGTGCCATTCCAAGCAGCCAAGGTGTTCCTGCTGTCTGGGAGAGCTTTCCTCTGAAGAGGTTCTTGGTTCATATCTCCTCGTGGGCAGTGGGGCCCGGGCTCAGGGAGGGTCCCAGCACTCCTCGTGCTCAGTGAAGCCACCTGGCCCTGGCACACCCTGGGCAGTCATCTCCAGGGGCCAGGGAAGCCTTGGGTGCTGCTGGGAGGGGAGGGGAAGGTGAAGCCCTGCCTGACCAACCTGGTCACCTTCTGTGCTGAGATGACTGTGCCGGGGGACAGCAGTGCTGGTGTCAGCCTCAGTGAGCTGCCCAGTGGCTTTGGGTGAGCAGGCAGGGCTGGACCAAAGCCTGCGTGGAGGACTGGGTTCAGAGTGTGGGTTGTCAGTGGCACAAGTCTTGTGCTAGGGGTGGTGCTGGCTCCAGTTCCAGAGGTCCATTACTCACCTCAATACATTTGCAGATGGGGAGATGTGGCTGGTATTCCAGAGGGATGTGCTGGGATCCAGAGGGGTCTTTAACAGGCTGCAGAAAGGGTCTGACAGGAACCTTCTGAAGATCACCAAGAGGAAGTGAATCTCCTGCATCTAGGAAGGGTAATTTCCTTCACCAGGATGTGTTGAGGCCACCCACCCATGAGGAAGTGTAGAGGAAAGGATCCAGGAGTTCCCCGTGAGCCAAAAAATGTGCAACTCCTCTTTCAGCCAAGTGTTCCAGCAGTGTCCTGGTGTCAGCATGTACAGAACCCTTTCCCTCTGCTCCACACCAGTGAGTCCAGCTCAGGGACATGAAGGTGATGGAGGGACTGGAGCACCTCTGCCATGAGGAGAGGCTGAGGGAGCTGGCACTGCCCAGCCTGGAGCAGAGCAGGCTCAGGGCATCTCATCCCTGGGGATAAACACCCGGGGGGAGGCTGCAGGGGGGACAGAGCCAGGGACAGCCCCAGGGGCCTCGGGCACCAGGTGACACACAGGAGGGGCCCTCCGAGCTCAGGAGACACTTCTGCACTGGGAGGGTGGCCGAGCACTGGTGCAGGTGCCCAGGGAGGTGGTGGAGTCTCCATCCCTGGAGACACTCAAAAGCCACCTGGACACATCCTGGGCAGCTGGCTCTGGGTGGCCCTGATGGAGCAGGGGCTGGGCAAGGTGACCTGCAGAGGTGCCTCCAGCTGGAGATCCTACCCCAGTGCTACTGGCAGAAGTGTGAAATGGGCCTGAAGTCAGGGGCTCTGTGTTGGCGAGGGATGAGGCAGTGCTGGGGTTAGGTAAAAGTCCTGGTGGACACAAGGGTGAGGTCCACAGGGTGCTGTGCAGCCACTTTCAGCAGGGAGTATTGGGTGGCACCAGGGCACAGGGGCTGGGTGCCCTGAGTTGGGTGCACTGAAGGGCTGCAGGGGCTCCAGGCGTGTGTCACTGGGGGTCGGGGACAGTGGAGGGGGTCAGTGGCATTCTGTAGGTGGAGGAGGGAGATAAGAAAGGGTAAAGAGAAAGGGGTATGAGAGGGTTGTGTTGAAAACAGGGCTGATCAGTGTAGTGTCTGCCTGAGCCCTTCAGTGTCCTGTCTGTCCTCTTAAATGCATTTTCACCTATTTCTCCATGAATCTCCCAGCTTGGTTGGATGTGTGCTGCAAGGGGTAAGTGCCAGCTGCTGGAGAGATAGCACAGGTTGGCCATGAGAGATGGAATCAGCAGGGAAACGGCTGGTGAGGTTCAGCACAAGGTACTCCAGGGCTGGGAGGGTAGGTGTAAAGCACTGCGGACTGGGGCTCTGTGGGATGCAGGCCTCACAAAATTGCAGATTTAGGGACAGGAGCTGACATAAGGTGAGGGTGTGGGGTGATACTTAGCTGGATGTCCAGCTGTGCTCCCGTGATAAATACATCAAATGTGGTCAAACCAGACAGGCCACTGCCCTCCAACGGAATCCCATGAACCACTCGTGTCTGGAATCCTCCTGTGGGGCTGGTTCTGCTCCTTGGACAGGGGTGGTGGATGAGGAGGAGGAGAGCTGGCTCAGCCTCCAGAAATGGGGCTAGACCCTGTCAGCCAGGCCAGAGGCAACAGGTTATAGAGCTCTGGGTGGGAAGGGCTCTTGTGATCCCCTCCTGAGGAGGAAGCCCTGGTCCTCACAGGGAGATGGACAGAGGGTGTGGACTGTGCCAGAGGGGATATGGGTCCCTGAAGCAGTGCCCCAGGTTGACTCCCCGCTCTTGCTGTGTCCATGCAGCCCAGGTTGGGCCAAGACACGGCTGTCACAGCTCCTGGTCTGCTGCCCACCACAGGTCCTGCACACCTTCACAGAGCAAATCAACGCTTCCAGGGCAAGGATAAGGCCAGAAGTTTATTGAGGCATGGTGACTTTGTGGTCTCCGGCACTGCCAGAGCCAGCCCCGGGGGCAGAGGCTGCCTGGGCTCGCTCAGTCCTAAGGTGTCACTGCTCTTGAAGCTTCCTTCTCCGTGTGGGGCCCTGCTGTGCCCAGCTCTGCCACGTGCCCTCCTCCTAGGGCAGCTCTGCCAGGTGGGTTGGGGTTGGGGTTAGGTTTAGGGCTAGGAGTAGAGTTAGGTTTAGGGTTTGTTGTGCTACGCCACTGTGGCACACGCTCTGGACTCCCCAGCCACATGGCAGCAGCGCTGCAGGCCCCGAGTCCCTGCTGCTGCTGTTTATTCCAATCATGCTGCCCCCAGCGGCTGTTCTTTCCCCATGAAATCGAGATATTATTGGGAACAGGTGAGAGGAGGAGAGGCTGAGGCTGGTAGCATCCTGCAGGCTTTGCGGGTACAGTCAGGGAACACCTGTGCTTGAGACATCGGTCCAAAGAATCCCCTCTCCAACATCTTTTTCCTTGGGTGCCTTTGTTGGGGTCAGGCCAGACCCCACATTTCCAGATCCTGGATGCAGAACTCCTCCTGGTGTGAGAGGGTCTCGTTGTCGAAAGTCTCGCAGGGCTGGCTGCCCCCATGGTGCAGGTCTCCATCCAGCCACAGCCCAAACCTTCCGCTGCGAATGTGCCAAGAGCATGGTCAGCTGCGACCTGCCTCCTTCATGGTTGGAGACCTCCCGCGCCACCTCCCATCCTCACTCTCTGTTCCCCAAAACGGACATGAGACGGGACAAGCAGCTGGCCCAGCTCTGCCACCGTGCCTGCAGGTGGGGAGAGGGCTGGGAAGCAGCAGCCCTTCCAGCAGGCAGTAGGGCTAGGGAATGAAGGGCCCAGTGCTGCTGGTGCCAGTGTTTTGGAGTTCAAGCCATCACCACATGCTTGGACCCAGCTCCATAGGGCAGCCTGGGTTTCTGTGATGGCTCTGATGGCCATCGGGGCTTGTGGCCCTCTGAGCCACTGAAGCTGCCAGCGCCGTTCCTACCTGCCCCCACCGACCATCAGCAGATTCACATCCCCTTTCACGAAGAAGTCGTTCCTGCCCGTCCACCTGAACACCTGCATGGGGACAGCACACAGAGGGGACCATGGGCTGCGGCAGTGTCCCCATTCCTGTCGCTGTCCTCCAAGGACCAGCTGGGGGCTGCTGAGCTAAGCTGCTCTGCTCAGGCACCTCCATGTTCCACATCTCCAGAGACGTGGCCAACAGCTCTGTGGGCCCTGCCAGGGCACAGCTGCCACCACTAACGCCCCATCACACACAATCCCCCAGCACTGCCAGACGTGTTGCCAGCCTAGAGCTGGGCTGTGACCGCCCTGCCATGTGGAATGAGCCCGGTGACGCCCAGCTGGGCAGGGTCCCCTTCCCTGAGCTTCCCTCCCTGCACACCGCCTGGGATTCGCCTTCTCCCCCCAGCCCTGGACAAACCTGGGGGCTGCTGTCAGCAGGGTCCCCGGCTGCTGTCCCCACGTCCGGCCAAGCGCAGCCCCGTCACCCCAGATTTCCCCAGCACCGCGGGGACCCCCGGGCGTGGCCGGCACCCGGGACATGGCCAGCCCCGTCCCGGAGCGCCCCACGGCTGGCAGCGCGTAGCCGCACCTTCAGCTCGGGGCAGAAGGAGAAGAGGAAGGTCTCCCCCGTGCCGTAGAAGCCGCTGCTGCTGCGAATGGCGCTGGCGGAGAACGCGCCGAAGGCCTGGGGAAGCAGAGGGGGAGACTCACGGGGCGGCGTTCAGAGGGGCTCCCAGCGCCGAGATGTGTCCCCGTCCTGCCAACGGGGCGAGGAGGTGCCCGAGCCCCGTGTGACACGGGGCAGCCGGGCTGGGGAGGGCACGGCCGTACCTGCGCCTCCGTGTCCCTGACGAGCAGCAGGGCCGGGGAGTCCGGCCGGGCCCCGCTCCGGTACAGCGTCCGCAGGCTGAAGCCGTCCCGCCCGGTGGAGTAGAGCAGGTGCCAGGGCTGCTGCGTCAGCCGCGGGGGCAGCTGGGCGCCCAGCTGGGGCACAGTGGCCTCAGCCGGGGCTGGCTGGCTGAGCATCCTCCCCTGCCCCAGCACAAACCTGAGATCTCATCGAGAGTTCTCCTGAGAGGTGGCCCCACACCCCATCCCTCCAAGCAGCCTCTCAGGACACCCACCTGAGCATCCTTCCGAGAGATGGTTCCAAGCACCCTCCCCTACAACACGCTCCCAAAGCGTCCTCACCCTGCAAACCCTTCTGAGATGGCTCCCCAAGCATCCTTTCCCCAAGAGGTGACTGAGGTGACCGGCCCCAAGCACAGGTGAATGTCACCCATGTGGCTCACACTGGACCAGTCCTGGTAGGGTACTGGTCACGGCTGTGGGTACGGGGCAGACGAGTGGGAGGGGGGCGTCCCTGTGCAGCCGGGGGTGCCTCACCTCCTCGAGCTCCCTGTCCCGCAGGATGCTGCTGGGTGTGCTCAGCACCAGCGTGCACGGCTCCTCCTCGGCTGCTGCCGGGGCTCCCTCCCAGCCCTGCTGCCCCTCTCCAGCTGGGTCTTCGTATCCCATGGGCAGCTCCTCGTCCTGGTCGGGCTGCGGGCAGCAGGAGATGAGCATCTCTGGGGCCCTGAGGGAGCAGCAGCTCCCGAACCCGCCCAGCGTGGGGTGTCTCCCATCCTCTGTCCAGGGGCAGGGAGAAGAGCTCAAGTCCACGGGAATGAGCACCAGGCTGAGCCTACGGCCCATCTCCTGGCTGCCAGCTGCTCCCGATAGCCCAGGTGCCATGCCATGCCGTGCCATGCCGTGCCATGCCGTGCCATGCGCTGGCACCCCGCCAGGCCGCTCCACCGCTGCACACGGAACTTGAAGGGTGTATGGCCACCCGAGGAGGAGGAAGCGGTGGAGGAGGAGGGGGAAGAGAAGGCAGGGAAGGCTTCTACAGGAAGGCTGAAACCCCCGTAGAAGGCGTGAAGCCTTGCCTTTCCCCTCTGCTCGCGGCCAGGCTGACCCCGCAGCGTAGAAGGGGTCTGGGATGTGCCGCGATCCTGGTGGCCGCTAGTGACAAGTGTCTCAGCCAGCCACGCGCTCAGCACGGCTGCGGGCGCTGCCCATGCCCAAGGGCACCGCCCTGCCCACCACCCTGAGGGGGGCAAGAGGGACGAGCGAGTGCAGCCCGGGGGCACAGGAGACCTGCCCCTGAGGTGCCAGGATCCTCGGGAGGCAGTGGGCTGCAGGATAGGTCCCGCGTGTGCCCTTCACCCCCCGCACCCCCCAGCCCCTCGGTCTCCCCAGGGCAGCCCCCCTCTGTCTGTCCAGCCCCGTGTCCAGCCTGGTGGGTGCCTCCCAGCGCTGCCCCAGAGCTCATTCCTCGCTATCCCGTGCGGCTCTGCCACGACGGACCTACCAGGAGCTGGTAGTGGTATCGGAGCCCCCTCATCGCAGCTGTTTCTGGGGCGCTGGCACCGCGCCGCCGGGGAGCCCGGGACACCGCCCCGGGGTTAATGTCCAGCCGCGCCGGCCCCTCCCTGGCCACCGGTGCGTGGCAGGGTGGCTGCGGATGCCAGCGGCCTGTCGCGGCTCGTGGGGGTCCAGAACGTGTCCCTCCTGCACGGCGCTGGGGTGCGTGGGCAGGCACCCCCCTCCAGACAGGTGCGTGGTGGCCGGTGGCTGTCACCTCTTTTGCAGTCCGGCTGTCACCTGGAACCAAGCAGAGAACCCCGAGACCAGGGGCTGCCCTTGTTTTGGCAGCGCCGGGGCAGGTCGTGCAGAGTTGCTCTTTGCAACACGACTGTTGCAATGGTTGTAGCAACTGCCAACACCTGTGTGGTGGGGTGACCCTGGCTGGACACCAGGCACCTGCCAAAGCCTCTCACTGCCCTCCACAGCTGGGCAGGGCTGAGAAAATACAGCAGAAGATTAATGAGTTAAGGACTGGTGAGATCCCTCATCAAATACTTTCAGGGCAAAACAAACTTGAATTAGAGATATTAACTGAATTTATTACTAACAAAATCCGAGCAGGATAATGAGAAGTTAAATAAGACCTTAAAGCACTTTCTCCACACCTCCCTCCTTCTCAGCTCTGCCTCCACTCCTCCTGCAGTGCAGGGAGGTGTGGAATAGAAATTATGATCACTTCACCACCTGTTGTTTCTGCTGCTGCTCAGGGAAAGGAGTTGGAGTCCTTCCCCTGCTCTGGCATGGGCTCCTCCAGGGGCTACAGGTGGAACTCTGCACCCCTGGGCCCTCCATGGGCTACAGGGGCACAGTTGCCTCCCCCTGGGCTTCCCCATGGAATCCCAGGGGAATTTCGGTTCCAGCTCCTGAAACAGCTCCAGCCCCTCCTCCTGCCCTGACCTGGGTGTGTGCAGGACTGTTCCTCTCAGGTATTTTCCCTCTGCTCTTCTCTAAGTGCAATTGCATCTGTGCAGTAACTTTTTTCTTCTACTTAAATCCCTAATCCCTGAGGCTTCACCACCATCTGTGCTGGGCTGGGCCTTGGCCAGCAGTGGGTCCTTCCTGGAGCCATCTGGAGATGGCTCTGCCAGACACTGGGGAAGTTTCTGGCAGCTTCTCACAGAAGCCTCTCCTCTAGCCACCCCACTACCAAAACATGGACACACAAACCCAGTATAGGAGGCCCTGTACATGACCCTCACTCTGAGGGAGCGAGCTTGGGACTGGCAGCTGAGGGAAGGAATTGCTGGCTGAGGGACCTGCCAGCCTCAGGTGCCTCTGGAAAAGCCCCTGCAGACCAGGGAAGAGGTGCAGTGCTCCAGTGCAGCCCCTTATCACTGATGTCACCCCCAAACCACTCAGCCTGGCTGCGAGTCTGTGGGTCCAAGTGCATCAGTGCTTCATTTATGCCAATTCAGGACTTGCTGCATGCCTTGCCTGGGGGCACGATGGCCTCAATGCCTAACCCTGGGCCCACTGCAGGCATTTTTGGGTTGTTCCTCGTCTCCATAGCAGGCCTACTGCAGCCTGGTGGGTGTCTGCTGTGTTGTCCCCACCAGCCTTTGATAGTAGTGGGAGTCTGGGGGTTCCTGGTGCCTGGCATTTGGTCACTGGCAACACTTGGTAGGGACCAGGCAGTTCTGGTGGCCTCAAAAACTTCCTCTGGGAACACTGATCAGGAGCCAGGACAGGGCTTCTAGTCCCTGCCTGAGCTGCCTTTGCAAGGCAATCCCTGTCCCTGCCCCTAATCCTGCCGGTGCTTCTGTCCCTGTCCCATCTCTGCTCCTGGCCCCACCCTTCCATACCCCTGACCCCGATTCTGTCCCCGTCCTTGGTGCCGTGCCTGCCCCTGCCCTGTTTCTTTACCCTTCATTGTCCCTGCCCTTGCCCCCAACTCTGCCCTTTCCTTTTCCCTACCCTTGGCCATGCTCCTTGTCCCTCCCCTGGCCCTGGCCCTGCTCATGTCTCTTGCTGCTCCTCCTCTGCCTCAGTGCTGACCCCACCACCTTCCTCAGGACTGTCTGAATCCAAATTTGGGACTTGCTGCTTCAGGATACCGAGACAGATCCAGCCCCAGAACAAACCCAGCTGCTGCACAGGACGGGCCCTGCCCGCAGCCCGGTTACCTGGACACGCCTGCCCTTCCCTTAAGCAGGGCTGTTTCGGTCTGTCCCCAAAACAGACCTGTTCCATTTTTTGTCACGTTTCCTCCCCAAGCTGTGTTTGCTTTTAGATCTCCTCGCACCCCCTCCCCGTGACTCTCAGAGCCAGCCACACTGCCACCACCCTCCGGCCAGAGTCAGAGCACACGAGGTGTCCAAAACTCGCAGTTTATTTTGCTTCTTGCTGTGCTCCAGCCCGGAGGCTCCCGCCGGGCCTGGGCGCAGCTCCACCCCCAAAGCGCTGACAGAAGTGCAATAAGGCAAAAGTTTGAATTGTTCAGAAAGAAAGATCTCTTTACACACCTGCCTGGGCACATCCATCAGCTGCTCGGTACCGGGTGCAGTTTGGTTTCTATGTCACATTCCCAACACTTGGGATGTCCTGTGGGAGCAGTGGTGATGCTGGAGGCAGCTGTCACATTCTGGTCACTGCATCTCTGTGCCACCACACAGCCACCAGAGCTGGTGGCTTCACCCTAGAGTGTCACATTCAGGGGGCGGCAGCAGCAGCTCCAAGGTGAGCAGGTCTGAGTACAGAGAGGAGTGGGGGGGACCAGGGGAGCTGATTCAAGGGAGCCCCTGTGCACAGCCTTGAGCCCAGCGCTGACCGGCACAGGGGTGACACAGACAAGTGCACATTCAGTAGCGTGTGGAACAGCTCCGTAACAGCAGTGGCTGAGACTCCTCCTGGATTTGGTCTGGCACCTTACAGGGAGATTGTGACACCTCCTGGTCCCAGCTGCTGCCCCAGGTCATCACAGTAGCACAGTAGTGTGAGCCCAGCACTGCCAGGCTTTGTCACCCAACAGAAACTGGGAGCAGTGGGAGTCCATCTCCTCAGCAGTATTCCCTCTGAAGACCTGCAGCCTCTGTGCAGCTCCTGGCATGGCTGTGTTGCTCCAATGGGATAGAGCAGTTACCTGGTACCCACCTTGCTCCTGATCCCATCCCAGTTCTGGCTCCTACTTGTGTTTGAGTGCTGAGGTTACCAGGTACGGCAGCAGCTCCAGCTGTCATCCAAGGTCATCATCCTTGGTCACCCAACCCTTTCACAGCACCCACTGTGACTGAGCAATGGGATTCCTTCAGATCCCTCAATAGCAGAAACCACCAAGAAATGGAATCTGCAGCCAGGACTGGGACACCAGGTACGCAGAGACTGCCTCGTGCTAAGCAGGAGCGTTACTGGTCAAAACAGTGAAAGGGAAGATCCCCAGAGAAGCAAACATCTCCAAGAAGCAGTGGTAGAAAACTGTTCATGGTCTGAGCTCCAGCCCTGGGTTTAGCTCAGACACTCCTGCTCCTGCTGGACTGCCCAGAGCAACTGATGGCTGAGGTCCAAGTGAAAAGCACAGGTGAGGGGGGGAGGCACTGCAGCTCTGACAGTCTGCACTGAGCCTGCAGCTCAGGGGGTTATTCCCAGAACTTCAGCCCTTTCTTTCAGTTGGTATCATTCCCAAAGTCAGACCTCATTCAGGGAACCTTCCCCACCCACCCCATGCACCCCAAGCTTTGCGTGTTCCTCGGAGTGGCCCGTGTCCCAGGAAATGGCGGTCCAGTCCTTATTTCAAAACCAGCATGGCCTCTGTCCCGTCCTGCCTTGTCAGGTGGAGCCCGTGAGTGAGGTAGTACTCCCGCCGGAGGAAGGCATAGAAATAATCCGAGACGAGCAGGATCTGTGGAGTGAGATGTTCAGACACATCAGTGGTGCTTCAGAACAAGGAATAAAGAGGGACCCTGTCAGGGGTTAAGCAGCTCCTGGGGTGTTAAGCACATGCTGCTGGAGGAGTCACTGTGACCTTGGGAACACCTTGTCCATCCCCTTGCCATCTTAAGCCAAGGGAGATTCACAAACAGTAGCTCCATAAACTGACC